TTTAGCATAATATATTATACAAATTATTAATCAATTAATTTAAAGATTAAAAATTTTACCAGTTGATCCTCTAGACACATTCATATCCTCTTGCTCGATTAAACTGTAAAGTTGGGTCGTATAGGTGGCAGTGTTGCAAAGCCCTACATGTTATCCTGGTTGGGTACCCGGTACCCATTAGGTACTCGCGCTTTGCGCGGGTGGGCTTCGCCCATCCATGCCCGCCTATGATAACTTTTGGGATATATGTCGTACCTACCTACACCCACTCATTTTCCAAGCTTTTTGAACACAATACACCATGTACTAATGGCCTTGAGACTTGTAGCTCTTTGTTCTGACTGCAAACTTTCAAGCCGCATATTAGAATTTATTGTGGTCACAACATAGTGAGGATTGTATTAAGATATAGGATTAACAATATAAATCAGTTTATCCCTCAATGTTGAGTACCCACCTATACCCATTCATGAGGTCATTGGCGTACCCTTACCCACCCATACTCATTAGGTATGGGTGGTTATGTGTATGGATACCCAATGCAAGGCTCTGCAATATTTTTGTAGTAGACAGTATAGGCCCTCTTTGACTATCAACCCCATTTATTACATTTATCTTGCTCACAGTAGCTTAGTTCATAAATAATTTTAATATATTTGTTGTAAGTGTCTTATGTATTATTTAGTAAGTGTTTTATTAGGGATTCATTTTTTTTTAGAAGCGGACATCACAATTTTTTTATGAACGTAACAATCATTTTTTTTGGGGATTTACATACATACTACTTTATTTCATGCTATTAAAATACCTAACACCAAAATATTAATATTACATGTCTAACACTGATATAACAAAATCGGGTGCATGGAATGAAACATTAAAGTTTATAGGATGTTATGAATGGTAGAAATGAATTATAGGAGTGACATATTTGATATTAAAGTTGTATATGGGTGGTAGACCTGTAATATTAATATTTTGAGTGTTAGATATGTAAATAACATGAAATAAAGTTGTATGTATGTAAATTTCCATTATTTTTTAAATGCATGCTCCTTAAAAAAAAATTGTAGTTGAGGTTGATCTTTTCTCTTCTTTTATTTGCAATATTTTGGTAGAATGTCAACACATGTAAGCGTAGAAGCAGATACCAATGAGCGTGTAAATGTTAAAGTTGAAAGACTTGATGAACAACATCATTCTTATCTTGTTGGTGAACTTGTGAATGAGAATGAAATAACTAATGATAACAATGACATTGATGATGAGGTTGAAAGATAGACTAATGAAAATCAAGATAATGATGACAAAGAAGTTTATGAGGAAAACTAGCTTGAAAATTTTATAGAAATAAAGAAAAGGAAGAAGACATCGAAGGTGTGGGATGAGTTCAAGGAAGTTATTTTTTCCTTATGGTCAATAAAAAGGATAATGCTACCATTGCAAAAAAAATATTGCCTTAGGTAGTACCGATGCTGCCACTCAATTTAGAAGGCATCTAGAACGTTGTGTTTCTAGGATTCGAGCCTTGAAAAAATAGAAAATATTACATCTCCAATCTAGAGAAAGTGATAGCTCCTCTACCCAAATAGGTCAAGATGGAGACTTATTAACAACCTTTAAATATGAGCATGACAAAGTAAGAGAGATGATTGCTCACTCTATATTAATTAATGAGAAATCTTTTTCAATAGTGGAGGAGTTTGGATTCAACTTAGTGTTGAAGTCATTGTCATCTTTCTTAGGAAATATTCAAGGGCCACTGCAAGAAATGATGTGATTATTATGTATGAGAAGGAGAAGAAGAAACTTAAAAATTCTCTCATATGCATTTGTAAAATGAGTTTTACTATTGACTTGTGGAAGTCTAAAAATCAAAGAGTTACAACACATTATGTTGATTGTAATTGGAAATTGTAAAAACGTGTTCTTAATTTTTTGCACTTACCACCACCTCATATTGCATATGAGATAGTCAATGCATTCTATAAAGCTTTTTTTTATTGGGGAATTGAAAATAAAGGCTTCATTATGTCAGTTGACAACGCAGCTAACAACGATAGAGCTATTAAACTATTGAAAGATAGCTTCAAAGTGAAGAAGAAATTGTCTCTTGGTGGGAGGTTTTTCCATATGCACTGTTGTGCTCATATTTTAAATTTAATGGTGAAGGACAAGAACAAAAGCATTGAATTTGTGATCGAAAAAATACGATATACAGTTAGTTTTGTGAATGCCTTAGAGGCCATGTTACTAAGATTTGCTGAAGTTATAGATCTAATAGGGTTCGGTGCCATTATGGGTTGAAGAGAAGACTCGAGGTAAATATATTGTAAACGATTTTATGGTTTTGTCATTTATTATACATCAACATATGAATTAAGAATGTCCTTTATTTTGTAGGAAGAAGATGAAGATAAAGAGGAGGAGATTTCTTTGCCAATTACATGAATCATAAAAAAAAGTAAGAAAAAAAATACTAATAAATAATATTTTAAATATTTAAAAGACACTATTGATTTCATTTTCAAACTAAAAAATAAATATAATTAAAAACAATCATTTTTCCCCTTATTTTTTATTTTATTTTTTTTTTCTCTGCACAAAAATCTTATTTTTGGTTATGAGCTTATTTACAACAATCACATGGATGTGCTTTCCCCGAGTCTGATCAACTTCCAATAACAATTATAAGCTTACACCATCTCCAACCGAACGTCAAACGAGCGTTTGGCGTCGTTCCCTCGATCCAGCCGAACGCCAAAACGTCCGCCATTTGCTTGAGGGTGAACAGTGCAACGCCAATATTGGCGTTGCACTGTTCACTCAAGCTATTTTCCTCTCAACCGGAAAAACGCGCGAAAGTAGAAGGATCGTTACCTTCGCGCAAAAGCAAAAAAATATCGTTCGATTGGAGCAGCACCACGCCATTTTTGCGTTTTGCGGTATTTTGGAGTGAAAAATGGAGTTCTCCGTTGGAGATGCCCTTAGAGCATTCAAAATGCATTAAAGAATATACAGTTAATATGAATTGATGTATGCTTCCACTGTTTCATGCGTTATTTTTAATCTATTGTGACTAAGATATTTTTAATGAAATAACAATTTCTTATGTGAATCTTATTTTTTATTCATAATTAGTTTATTTAAAAGAAATTTTATAACTTATTATCAACATCATAAAATCAAATCTCATCAACATCAAGCATATAGTTTATCAATTAGGATCTCTCTAGAATGCCTGCACTATTATATAAATTGATTATAAAGTTATTATAGAGAAAGCAACATAGTTATTTTAGTTGTAACAGACAGCTTTCTATTAAATTTCTTTTTAAAAATTATAAAAAAAATTGTAAGAAAATAATAGTAAAACGAGATAGTGATTATTATGTGAAAAGTAAAACAACAAGAAAATTGTCTCAAACCAATCCTCAACTTCTCTCTCTCCCTCCCTCTCGCTCTCTCTCACAAGAAATTATTCGGTGCGGACGTCGAACACAGTTCTACAGCCAGAGACCAAGCAGAATGAGCCACGTCAGTAATACCGAGCGGTGCCAAGCCGCAGACAGAGCAGTACCGAGCCGCGATATCGACGTGGCTCATTATGGTTGGTCTTCGGATGACGTTCGACATCCACACAAAATAATTTCTCCTCTCTCACAGCATCTCTTGTATTTTGGGGTCTTCGAAGCTTGGACTAAGGCTTCATTTAGGATTGGACTAAGGCTTCATTTAGGACGTTACTGTTTCTTAAAATAATTTTTTAGTACAAGAATTAAAATTTTTGTACTGAAAACCCGCTTTGAGAAGCAATAAGAAAGTCATTTCAAACAAAGCCTAAAATGAAAGAGGATCATTTATCACCACAAAAGTATTTCATAAATGAGATTTTGATAATCAGCTATAAGAGCTCAATATGATCAATAAAACAACACAAACAATCATTAAATCTCTTCATGAATCTGAAACAAAAAGACATACTATTACATGTCACATATACTATTACAATCATCAATCTCTCACTCATTATTACTACCTTCTACCAAAAAAAAAAGAATTTTCTTATCTCCTATAAGAATCTATCTTTCAATATGAATATAAAAATCTAATCCTAATGCCACCATCATCTCCTACTACAAGTGTTAGTCAACTGAAGAACCTGCACCACAAGATATAAACAAAGGTTTAGGCAACTGAAATATGAAAAACTAATCACAGCACTTAATAAAGAAGATGATGAGATGCTGGACCATTGAAACAAAAAGATCGTTAAATTATCACGGCATGAAAGGAATCATCATGAAAGGTGGGTGGATGAATGACAAGAGTCACAGGCTCTAAAGCAGTTATCATCAATGACCCGTTTGGAATCTTCTAATGGTGAGCTTTTGTTTGGTTGCAGACAAGAAGAATATGCACCGCCCATCTCTTATCTTCCAAGAAAAAAGATGCATTTGATACAAGAGAAAAGATGGAGCTAGAAAAGACCTATCACCTTAAACTACAATGCATACTTCAAATGTTATTGGAGTTCTCATCTTTCTACCAACAATCAAGTGTAATTATATTTCGAGGGTTTAAAGTTTAGCCTGATACATTAACGATAAAAAACTTGAACTTACGGTAAAGGTTCAATTATTTAGTACTTCTATATAATAATTTTTGAATTATTTGAAGTGACACAAATAATATTATCATATATGTTAATAATCTCGCATCACAAGAGAGCTCGCTATATCGGTTATAACTACTCATTTAGGCTTCGTTTGGGACGACTTTTTTATTGCTTTCTAAAACGGATTTCTAGTACAAAAATAAAAAAAATTTGTACTAAAACTCCGTTTTAGAAAACAGTAAAAAAGCCGTCCCAAACGAAGCCTTAATGGAAGATTTTCAATATGTCATGTGCTAAAAGCCCACTCAACTATGTGATGCTTGTAGCGGAGTCGCTCACTCTTAAACTTTGCTCGGCCATGGTAAAATCCAATCAAAAATCATGAAAGCAACAAACCACAAGAATCACTCGATTAAAACTGAAGCATCAAAGGGGAGGCCCAAGTTGGGCTTAATACATAACTGGCTAAGTTTATTTTCCCCACAAAAGCTCTAAATATATAGATGAGAAACAACCACTCAATATTTTTATAACAACACACTTTTTGATTATTCAATGTGGGGCTAATCCAATACATTCATGTGATTAAATAAATGAAAAAACAGCTATATTTAACAAGATTTTTTGCTGGCATATATACCTCAATTTCTGCATGCAGACTCTTTTGAGGGATCTCATGTGGATTAGTGAAATTGAATTTCTTTTCCTTTCTAAAGCTGTTCCTCTTTATCAAAATTGTGTTATATAGCTACAAATAAGACTGCCAAGAATGCCTAAAAGAGAGATTACCTGCAAAAAAAGACATGAGGACAAATAAATGTTATTTGAAGAAACTATACCATTTCAACCTAAATAATTTGCAATTCATGATTTTCATCCCTCTGATTATTAAGTAAAAGTGTATGATCTAAAACTTCCACATTTTATTTTTCACAGACCAAAAGCATATTTATGAGGACAAATAAATGAAGCTTCAGCCAGAATGAAATATAGAACAAGAGCCATGATTAGATTACATCTTATGCCAAGTCCTATAAGTCAACTGGATCCATTGTTAGCTTTAGGCTTCATTTGGGATGGCTTTCCTACTACTTAAAGCAGCTTTTTAGTTTAAAATTTTTAATTTTTGAACTAAAAAGTTGCTTTAAGAAGCAGTAAGAAAGTCGTCCTAAACGAAGCCTTAGACTTCATTTGAGACGGCTTTCTTCTTGCTTCTTAAAGCAGCGGCTTTCTTATCCCAAACAAAGCCTTAGTATTAATTCACCAATGACCATGCAATAATGAGCCCTTCAGTCAAAAGGAAGCAATTGCGAGCTACAGGCAGTATTCAAGAAAGAATTTGCAGCACGAACAACACATGAAGAAAAAGAAACGGTTAAAACTTCTTGCAAGCATTTTGGATATATAAAAAGTAAAGAGCCCCTAAAAACACTCTTACATATACTAAGAAAAAGTAGAAGACAAAAGGGAAAATGAAATGTTATATAAACTCCTAGAAATCTTACCACTTGCTTAGAAGATGAACCCGTCACTATGAAAGATGTTGATGAAGGAGAGAATCCTGAGAATCCGGATATTCCAGACCCTTGCAAATCAATATTGTAGACAGGAGTGTTGTTGGGGTAGAACAGCCCATAATTCCTCTCAGATGTTGGACCAGGCTTTAAATCTTCATTGAATAAGGCAAAAACATAGATACTGAGTGGTGTATTTGGCATCAATGGTGTACCCTGATTCATCTCCAACCTCTTCAAGAGATTTCCATTGTATAAAGCTGCATTCTCTACAGTAGCTCCAGCCTCATCAGGATCCCCTTTAGATGGCCAGCCAGTCTCTGATACTCTTACATTAATATCATTATATCCCATTGCTTTTATTGCAGAATAGACAGAATCAAGCTGAGCATAGAGCATGTTATCATAGTTTAGATTTGTATTTGGATCAGTGACACCTTGATTTGACTGAAAGAGGACATACTCCATTGAAACAGTATCTGGGCTAGCCTTATAGGCGAAGTAAGGGTAAACATTTATCAAGAAAGGGGAGTTGGTTTTTGAATGGAAGTCAAGCAATGGCTGAATGTATTGAGCAAGATTTTGTAGGAAGGAGCCTGAGGAAGGAGGGTAAGAGTTACCTAGTATAGCAAGAGAATGTGCAGTGGTTATATTCACTTGTTGGTCCAATCCAAGAGAGACTAGAGCACCATGGAGAGACTGCATTGCTGGTACAAGGTTGGACATTAGCGACGTGTCCTTGCCGGAGAGAATTTCATTGCCTACGGTTATGCATGTAATCTTTGTCTGAGGAAGGAATGACTGAACATTTTGCTGAATCCAGGCTTTTGCTTGTGATGAATCTATCATGTTTGCAACATTCTCATTGCCAATCCCAATTATGAACTCGATGTTCGAATTGGCGAAGGCACTTAATACATTCGGGTCAGCATCGTAAAGCTTAACTTTATTGATAGAGAGAGACTGAAGAAGCTCAGAAACTTGGGATGGTGAAGGAAGATTGTTGGCAATTTGGCCATAATTGATCCCGATATTAAGACTCAAGATTTGGAGAATTTGACCTGCAAAGAAAAAGAAACTGAGATTGATGGGTTCCTTTTCCTATTTCATCTTATAAGAGAAATTATATGCTTCCCAAAACCATTGCCTTACAAATCATGAAGAAGATAAGAGATAAAAGGCATGCAAAAGTTGTTAATAGTAAATTTGCAGTATTGATTATTTTTGCATCCAAAGGACCTCTCAATTACCACTCAACATAACATTATAGAGCTCAACCAAACGCAAATGGTTGTTCTTACTAACGGTAACCACATTTTCTAACATGGATTTCGAAAAAAGTGGATCTTTTAACACTCCTGTTTATGAAGGAACCACTTGGAACCAATATACTAAAAAATTGAATTTTTGATGTTCTGCTCGCCCTCCCACAGAAAAAGAAGAATAAAAAATGCATCTTTTAACTAGCCATCTCAGCTGACCTAGATCTTGTTTCAATATTTTTAATTTTCATCAATCAATTTTACAAAATAATTGAAGATTTTTATAAGAATCCCTGATAAAAGGAAGAAAGGACAAAAAGAGAAACTCAAAAGCATAGTATCTTCCCTCAACCAAGCAGAATACCAGACTGTATCAGAAACGAAATTAAGCACTTGCCAATCTATTCAAAGGATATCATCTGCTTCAAAGAATTAAATACGTAAGAGAAAGGAAAAGAACACATAATAGCAGACAAAATCGTCAAGAATTACTAGCAAAGCTTCCTACTACATTCATCATCGCCCATCACTAAGCGCAAGCGGCGGGAACCAAAATTCCAATTCCACGCAGACCTCCAACCTTCCTTTAATTTAGGATAACCGGTCTTTTGCACTTTTCTTTTGCATTCTTCAGCCAAGATCTAAAAAATTCTCCCAAAAACTCTTAAAAACCCGCAATTTCAGCCGCAGGGATACAAGGAAAAGGCAAATAGCGTTTCACCAGGCATATAAGAAATTAGAATTGATATTTCGCAAATTTAAATCCAGTTGATAGAACAATAAACCGGAGCAGAAAGAGGGACTCGCCTCCAATCTTTAGCTACAAAATAAAAAGTTCAGTTCACCTGCTATAAGAGAAAAGATGAAGAACAATTCCAAAGAAGAGAAGATCGACATTCTCCTCTATCTCTCTGTCTTCCTGCTTCTTCTCTTCCTCTTCTCGCTTCCACCAGCAGGCCAAGGCATCTTCTTGATCAACAACTCTCTCTTGGCTTCTTTAAATAATCGTGGGGCGGTGAATGTAGCGCTGCTCTATTAAACCTCCCTAAAAACAAAAACGTACCGAAAGCGCCGTCAGGTTTTTTTCCGTTCACAGCAGAGAACTGGACTGGAAATTTCATCGAACATATAAATTTACACTTTTTTTCCCCGCGGTGAAAAAAAAAGTCAACTTTTTTGCATTTCAGCCAATAAATTTTAAGAATTTAACCTTGTTTGTACAAAATTTGGCTTTGTTGTTCATTGACAGTACATACATACCTAAATTTTAATTAATTCCGCTGATAAAATATTCAAACATGGTAAGGGGCTTTAGGATCTTGTTCTATGAGAACACCAAATCATATTCAGAAATTAATAAAAATGCATCATGTCATTTTTTAATGTGTCGTGGCTCGGTATTATTCAATATCAAGGCTCAGTACCGTAGCATCCAGGCGTAGAGTTATGTCTAGTGTCCGCACAGAATAATTTTTCTATTGGGAAGGGGCTTCAACTGTTGTATCAATCCATCTTTGGAGAAATTATTCTGTGCGGATACTGGACCGTCCGGAGGTGAACCAGAACGCACCACGTCACCTCGCATACAAAATGATGCACTATAAAAAAGTGATCACGTTGTGCGTTCTGATTTACCTCTGGATGACGTTCATATCCACACAGAATAATTTATCACATTGTCGAGACGGAGTTTTCATGGCCGTCATAAGCGAAGATCCATTAAAAGGAATTATGATAAGCACTAATTATGAGACAAATCCTAATTTTCCAAACTTTATTTAAAAAACAATTACTTTGCCATGTGCCTGATTGAGCAAGTCAAAAGATATTCTAATACAGACCACCCACACAAGATCCATCTGAATTTACTAAGTAGAGAAATTCAGGTGCCTAGACGCCTACACTTAATTAAACACCTTTTTAACGGCCATCCTTCTAACTTGTAACTGAAGATATAGTGATTAGTCGCCCAAAATCCAAGCGATTTGCGAGTAGGAGTGTAACTGAGTCAAGTTGATGGATAAGTTAATTTTAACCACTCAAAAAATGTCTAACTTGATGAGTTAATTTTAACCGTTCTTGCAAACAAGTCACTTTTTCAGACCTGAAGCCAACCCACTTCGGATCCGGATCAACCTGACAAGACTCGCCAACCCGGGTCAGCGACGGCAATGGCTACTGCAAAGGCAACGCCATCAGCAGCGTCGAGGGCTGGCGACACGCAGGTGATGGATGACACGTGGACGACACTGGACGCAGATAGGTGAGCTGACGCCAGACGCGACACAGTGAGAAGAGACGATGACGAGACTTGACGATTGACACAAATTAGCGGTGAGATGAGACGGCATGACAAGGCTGACGAAGCAGTTTTTGGGTTAGTAATGGTCAATTTCGGGTTAGAGAATTGACCCGTACTCAACCAGTTTTTTTAAACGGGTCAAATCTTGGAACCCAAACCCGACCCATTTGCGAAGCAGATTGACCATAACCCATAATTTTTGTGTAAGATTTGGGCCGGATTTTCCCGTGGTGTCAAATATTGACACCCCTAGCTCAATATTCATCATGCACACTCAATTGGAATTTAAAATGAAAAACAAATAAATAAATTTGAATCTTTTAAATAATATAAATTATATTGAAATGAATGTAAGTTGAATTTTAATTTATTTATTATAATTATTTTAACTTTGAAATTTAAAATAAGAATTTGGAGATTTATTCTAATTAATTAATTTGGTCGGCAAATTTAGCATTTTATGGCTTTTAATTTTCTTTTTAAATTAAAAAAAAAAGTCGGTAATATAATAATGATTTGTGGCTTAGAAGAAAAGTAACGAAGACAATTAAATAAAATTAAAGAGCGCATATCTAACCTTAAATTAATATAGTGAGAACACAATTTTTTGGGCAGGATTCTCTCTGCCTAATAAGACATAATCTTTTTTCTTTACTTAATTAAAAATTATTAGAATCCACTAATCCTCATTACATCCCTCATAATCATTTGTTAAGCCAATGATTTAAGGGATGAACTTAATAACATTAAGGATCTAAATTATGGAGAAGGTTCATATATACTTAAAATAGGATTGAATTAGTTATTGATAAAAGAAATATTATAAAAAAGTCTTGGGTCTCAATAAATTATTCGACCCGATAATTTGACTCATAACTGGCCTAAATAATCTGAGTTTGAATAAACCTGTTTAATAAACTAGTTAAATTCGGGTCCTAAATTAATAACATTAAGGATCTAAATTTTTGAGAAGGTTCATATATACTTAAAATAGGATTGAATTAGTTATTGATAAAAGAAATATTATAAAAAAGTCTTGGGTCTCAATAAATTATTCGACCCGATAATCTGACTCATAACTGGCCTAAATAATCTGAGTTTGAATAAACCTGTTTAATAAACTAGTTAAATTCGGGTCCTAAATTCTAACCCATTTAATTAACGGAAAGGGTTTGAGTTGACTCGCAAACTTGATATTGACCTGATAGTAACTCGTTTAATTGTTTTTATTTTGTAAATTCTTATGATTGTTGGTATGTTGTTCTTATTCTTGGTAAATTAATCTAAACTCTATAACTAACATGTTACAAAAAAAAAATTATTAACATAAGTTATTAGGATGAGTTTGGGTCATTCGGGTTGCAGACAGGTCTAATTTAGGTTCATCTTTTTTACCTGTATATTAAACAGGTTAGGTTAGAGTGAAATGAGTTCAAATTATGTCAATTTTGAGTTGGACCCGAATTCAACCCATTAACCCAAGTTAGGTAAGCTAATAATAACTATTACATTTGAATTTTGACATAAATTATTATATGTGCAACTGATGTGACATGATTTTAAATATAAATTTTATTATTTTTTATCAAAATAATAATTGTTTGGCAAATTATTATTTTGAGAAACTGAATTTATTTTGCAACATAATTTTCTTTTAAAAAAGCATTATTATAATGATGGATTTAAATGCATAACAATCATAACTATCTAATTTACATATTTCACATATAAATTTTACTATTCCCTATATATGATGCTCTAAAATCTAAATTAGAAGACTTATTCTTTTATCTTTTAATAAATAACAATCAGAGCAACCTAATTTTTTTTATCAATATAGATTCCAGTTGAAATAAAAATATCAATCAAAACATCAATATATACATCTCTATTTATTTTTCCAAAAATCATGTACACTACTTATGATCCAAAGCACTAATTATTATCTCTTAAAAGATAAAAGAATAATTCTTCCAAATTAAATTCTGGCTCATCACACTATATATCCCTTAAATTATCAAAATAAACTAAAAAATAACACCTCCCTCATCAAATGCCCGAACCTCATCAACTACCCGCCGGTCCCTAAACCATGATATTGATGCTCATGCTTGAGCTCATTGTCGCCTAATCGCTATGTCGCTACCACCTTCCAATGAGCTCGTTGCCACTTTCTTGCGAGCTCGACCCGGCCCCTTCTGTCGGTCCTATCTCCGCATGCCAACGAGCTACTCTTCGTCCCATCGATGCCCTCACTTATAAGCTCTGATGAATATTCAGTGATATATATATATATAGAAGAAAAAAAATTTCAAATATTAATGGTTCTTCTCCCTAACGTAATTACGATGTGTTGGAGATAAAGTCTCTCTCATTCCTGGAATAGGCAGCCATGGGCCCATGAGTCAGAAGAAAAGAAGAGAAACGTGAGTAACGATCACTCAACAAAAAAGGGTAAATAACTAAAAGAAAATTTTTGGGTAACTCAACAAAAAAGGAAAAATAAAATAAAAAAATTCAGTAGGGACAAATATCTTAAATGGACCAGCTGTGCACAGAAAAAGTTTTGAATTTATGAGAAGGTTCAAATCCTTTGATTTTTGTACTCAGATTTGGAGGCATCATTGTTTTGAGATCTTCCCGTTACCATTAAATTAATAAATTATTAAATGCAATGTAAAGTAGATTCATAACTTTTGAAATAGAATGAGTGTAAAATGTTTAAAAAATAAATACAGTGTAAATTTTTTATATATTTTAATTCAATTTTTATGTATTTTGAATTCCTCAAATTTGGTCGAATCCTTTGCCGTTGCCACCACCCTTCACCATCACTACTATCACCAGCCTCTTCAAGCTGCCACCGTCAACCGCCACTGCCCACCTTAGGCTGTCATCGGCTATCATCGGTACTATTAGCCACCCTTCTTCGCCATCGTAGACCATTATCGTCACCCGTTGATAGCCACCACCACCAGGGCCACCTCTACAACTGGCACTGTCACCGCCTTATATAAAAAGGAAGAATACAGCACATTATAATCTTATCTCAAAACAATTGATAGACTTGAGAGACATTTTATAGGAGAAAACTATTATCTCATAATTATAATACAAATATATAATATTTTTAGTTAAATATATTTCCATTTAATTTTTTTTTAAATATTTCTAATATAAAAATAAATCAATATAATATCTTAAACGTGCCTTTTTAATATTCTCTGACTGAGACTTGCATAAATAAATATATATAATTTCCATGCTCTAGTTATCAGTCAATGTTTTTCAGCTGTTCTTATTTCTTTTTCGACTATTGTAGCTCAGATTACCTCAGCAGCAACTCAGATTTTTCAACTACGAGGTGGTGAAGTCGTACAAGCAATCAGTGTTGAAATTTTTTGGCTTTTGAGTAGCTTTACGTGTGAATCAATCTTAAAGGTTTGCTGTATAAATTTGGTAAAAAAAAAAATAATAATCATTTTATGTAAGTTTTTTGAAGAAATAAATTATCAGAATATTCAAATTAAATTTTTTAAAAATTAAATATATATTTAAGTAAATAGTGAATACAAAATAAAGTATTTATATAATGCAAGAAAAAAAAATATTTTCTAATTATTTATATAATACATAAAAACTGAGGCTTGTTTGCAAATGTGAAAAATTAGAATAACAGTAAATGGCTGTTTAATTTAATTTTATATTGTATTAAAATGATATAAATAATATTAATAATCAAGATTAAGATAATCTAAATAGCTACTAAATTAAATGTTTTCTAGATTATTTGATGATTTAAGAAGCAAATATTTTTTGCCATTTATTAATTAATAATAATTATATATATATTTATATATATATATACATGATATGCTGCATTTAGAAGAACTTTGACTTGAAAAGCAAAAGTGAAACTAATGTTTAATTACTTACTACGAGTCTGCGCAACTCATCTTGATCTGTCAGTTGAGCTTTAGCTATCAACAAAAATGTTTTGAATTCACAATTTGCTCATCTGAAGTGTGTGTGAATATGTCTTAATTGGCTCAGATATCCCAAAAAAAAGCATCATTACTCAGCACACAGCTTGGTCATCAAACCAGTCTATAAAATCCTTACATTGGAACACAAACAGTAACCAACATTTATCAAATAAACAGCCCTGAAACAGCACAAATGGCAGCCATTATCAAAGACAAGCAGAAACAAGTGAAGTACATTTTCATTTGAAACTATCAGAAACTAACTCTGAACCTTCCAGATGCTGCATCAATTTCTCATTTAGTAAAGCTCCCCTTCCTTATGAGTATGGATAACACAGTCAGATTTGGGATAAGAGACACAAGTCAAGACATATCCATTAGCCATTTGAGATTCGTCGAGAAAGGAACCATCAGACTGGTCTACATTGCCTGAAACCAAGAGGCCGGCGCAAGTCGAACAAGCCCCAGCTCTGCAGGAGTAAGGAAGATCAATTCCGACGTTTTCGGCGGAGTCCAGAATGTAAGAATCGTCAGGAGCTTCAAACTCGTTTTCTTGGCCATCTGGTCCAATGAGCTTAACCTTGTAGACTGCCATGGCAGTAGCTTTGAAGCCGTTTGATTCAGTATTGAGTCTGGATGTTTTTGAAATGGATTTGGTGAAGGAAAGGGAAGCTGGGCGCTTCACCAGCTTGGAGGAAATTGCTGGGGTTTTGATTCTGGTTTGAAATGAGTTGGCAGTGAAAAGGGTGGTAGTGGACATTGCGATTACCTGGGATAAAGGATTGAAGTAGAACAAATATGACATCATATCACTATTTGAAATATTTAGTCATAGATTTTTCCATGTGTTCAATTTAGCATCCTAACTCATCAAATTCAAATTAATTTTATCATTAAGATGAAAATAGATGGAGAGAAGCATTTCATAGTTTACGGTAGTATCAAGCAGTGAAATTAGGCTTCATTTGGGATAACTTTTTTACTGATTTCTAAAGGAAAACAGCTTTAGAAAACAGTGAAAAAACTATCCCAAACGAAGCCTTAGTCTTACAATAACAACATAAACATCAAGAAAAAAAAATAAAAATAAAAATAAAAATAAAACAAAAAAAAACAAAAAAAAAACAAAAAAAAAACAAAAAAAAATAAAAAGAAAAAAACAACATCAACATCAAGACTTTATACCACTATATGAGATCAACTACATAAATCATTTTTCTCCATTGTGTCATGTTAAGAGTCAAATTCTCATTTAAATCTAATAAAGAAAAATGTCATTTCTAATATTCTATACCTAAGTCTTTTTAGGTCTACCTCTAAAAATTTTAAAATACCTCATTAAAAAACTTCACTTTTATTTCAGTCCAACTAATGGCAGGACTAAATTGATAAAGATTTGTTAAGTTCAAGGGAAAAAATTAAACACAATAAAAAGCCTAGAACAAAAATGGACATCCTACAAGTCTAGGGACCATTTGGTACATTTACTCTTTGATTGCCCTAGTATGTAAAGATATTTTAAAAAAGATAAAAAAAAAATTATATAATAAATACCAATGATTTCATTTTCAGTGATTGACCAAAAAAAAATTCATCACTTTCTTTCTACCTACGACAACAAAATGGGGCTTAAATAAAGGGAAAGGAATAAAATGAGGAACCTTCAGACTATAGTTATTAAAAGTTAGGTGAAAATGTCATGTTAGTTGTTCAATGGAGACTAATTAGGTAGTTGACTGGTTGCATCATGTTTCTGGACAAGGTAGTAAAAAAAAATTGTAATAAGAATATTGAAAGTGAATCAATTTGACTTCAGGGGGGAGGGCACTGGACAGTAAGGTGATGAGTGATGAAGAAAGTGTAGAAATTTGATATAACACAAGTTAGGCTTCGTTTGGGATTATTTTTTTACTGCTTTCTAAAATAACTTTCAAATACAAAATTTTTTTGAACTAGAAATTTTGTACTGGAAAGTTGCTATAGAAAACATTAAGAAAGATGTCCCAAAGGCTTCATTTGAGATGGCTTTTTACTGCTTAAAATAATTTTATAGTAAAAAAATTTAATTTTTATACTAAAAAGCTGCTTCAAGAAATAATAAAAAACAATACCAAATGAAGCATTAGTTTAGGCCTCGGTGGTTGTAAACTCTAAATAACACAAAGTTAGTCTAGGAGAATCAATTGAGTGAATCAACAACATTGTACCTTTGGCCAAGAATATTGAAAAGAACAAAAGTTGCGTCTACAATAAAGCCACCTATTTGGATGCTAGGAAGTTTGAGAGAAAGAAAATGAAGCAGTAGAAAGCTCATATTATGATTGGCAGACTAAATATAAATTTGCAAAATGTCTATTACATATCATTCTTTCACTTTCATTGAATCCCAAAATTGCCCTTTAAGAGAATCTTTGAATCAGAAACTTATTGCAACATTTGTAAATAATCTATGGTGCTAAACCAAAAGCAAAGTTCAACACGTTATAAGAAATACCTCATTTGACAGTTGCAAAGAACCTTCGACTCGGTTGCAAAGAAACATAGAATTTAGTCCAGTTGAACCTCAAATCAATGATGACAGATGAATAATCAAGCCAAAATTTGCCCAAATTACCACTGAATTAAAACTTTTCTTCCACTCTGATACAGCTTAGGGGTTATTTGATTGGATCCTTGTATTTTAAGAATGGAGAGAAAAGTAAATATGATCCTTACTACTCCTATCTCTTTGTTTGGATGAAGATAATTAAGTGGAGAATTTTTTTTTTTATATTTGATTGACAGTAAAATAAATCTAACATTTAATTTAGCCCATAATTTTGTGTAAGCATTTTCCTCGTGTCTCTTTAACCTAAAACTCGTGTCTCTTTACCCTAAAACTACGGCACCTGGTATTTGGGGGCGCATTACATTTGCAATGAAAATTTTATTTTATATTTCTTTAGCTTTAAAACAATAATAATAATAATAATAATAACAACGTAGAGCAAGAAGTTTTCATAGGATCTTAAAGAATTTTGGATTTTACAACCATAGTTGGATGGATGGCCTCCTCCACCTGAAAATATCATGAGAACGTTAACTATAATTAAATATCCCTTCGTATCACTTTAATTGTATTTATATTTTATTTTTCATTGTTATATATTTGTTCATATGTCAAGACAATTAATGTTGTAATTGTTGCATGTGTTAATTCTGTTGTAATGTTCTTATGCTTTATATTGTAAGTCATGAAGAGAAGATTTTGGAAGTCTTAAAAGAGTTTAAGATTCAAAGTAGTCAAACAAGGCTTCATATTAACTGAAAATCATGTGGAGAGTCAAATGGAAGCTTATAAAATTTAATTCCAATATGTTGGGGTGTCCAAGGAAGGATCCACATCATCCTCAACCACAAAAGGAGCCACATCATCCCACTCTTCATGAAATAAGAGAGTGGCCATGCCATGTCAATCCACTCCCACCAATCACCTCCTTGTTTCAAGGAACCACCATTACAACTACTTGTGATTTTCAAAATTTCAATTTGGAACCTTTAGAATACTTGTATTAATATGTAAGGATTGATGTAATGAAGAATTATTTTTTATTTGGAAAAAAGAATTGTGAAGTACTTCGACATTTTCTTGCTCCATTGGCTTGGTGGCTAAATTTTCTCCTTGGTAGGTTGGATTAATTTTCATTGTTGCTGTTCTTAAAGTATGTATTTAAACTTGATCTCCTATATATCTACAAAATCACCTCATTATCCATAAGGAATTCTAACCAACCTCCATCAAGAAAAAAACACAAGACAAACACCCATTCAGCCAAACTAGGTTTCTACATACCTAATCTAGCGTTTGCCTCCATCACAATTCACAAGCCCTTAGATCACTTAGAAATCCTTCAAAAACTCTAGAAATCAACTACAAATATCACAAAGAATTCCTAAGTGTTTCTAACGATGGAAATTTCACCATGAATTCAACACTAATTTTTAGAAGTCAAGAGAATCCACTTGGTAAACCTTCCCCTCTTCACTAACAATTTCCCACCACTCTCTCATCATTCCTAAAGTCCCTACTACAATATAGACACCTCATACAGCAAGCATAAACCCTTGGGATCCCATTTAATCAGGCTCCACTAAATACACTCCAATGAAACAGCTTCTTAATCAAGGCCCAGTCCAAGAAGGTCGCAAAAATAGTATTGTTGAAATACCATTGGCGAGGAACCTAACAATCAGTTGAAAGAAGCATAGAATTCGATGTCCACTTGAACATAAATGTAATACCTTCTAAAAAAATGATGGTGATAAATTGATTTCCTTGCAGTCGTAGATATATATTTTGAAACATTATACCAGATGTAAGAGGTGAAGCTCTATATAGATGTTATCCAAATTTGGGTTCATCTGATTTCTTTAAGTTAGAAGCAATGTTTTGAAAATAATGAGATTTGATAAATCTATCATTTGGTCGGATGAAGATTAATGTCAAATTTATTTCACACTCCACAAGCCTTCTCAAAATTCTCTTAAAGGCGATGATTTAATTTTCACATTAAAAAAACATTATTTTCTAAAATATGTTTCTATTTTAGAAGCACAATCAAATGAGATCTTATTATCCTATGGCATAATCATGAACCAAATAATGCAACAGTTCGCCAAAAATTTAAATTGATCAAGCACATTTAATAATTTCATATCATCACAAAAGAAACAAGAGCATGGAAACATTCTTATCACTTATCATAAGATTTCTAAGAGAATGATGCTCCCTTTATCAAACACCCTCAATAAGAAAATAAGACGATCAACTACTCATTTTCAACCACCTTCTTAAGCCCTCATTAAGCGACAGTTTAGTTAAATGTTTTTTAATTTGTAAATATTTTAGAAATATATGAATTGTTTAGTTGACTACAAATGAAATGCATTGAAATACTTTAATGTGTTTATAATGACAACAATGGCAATAGGTGGCCAGAGGCTCGATCAATGGTGTCGGAAAGTGGTGGTAGTAGATGGCGATTGTTGATGATCTTGTGATTGGTGACAAGGCAGACAACACCTGACTGGTGACACAATTGTGGTAGGATGGCGGCACGCATAGAAGATAAAGTCGTGAGCTATGAGTTTTACTTATATTTGAAATTCAAGAAATTCACCAAATTTGGGTGAATTTTACATTCATCAAAATTAGTTATTTTGGGTATTCCAAATATCCAGCACAAAACTTTGTACTTAATTTACTTTAAGCAACAAAAAAAATCAAAACTCCTTCATTTCTTTTACTTTACACTTACAATTTTTGCAACCAAACAACTCCTACAAAAACTAAGATGACAAAAGCATAAGCAATAGGATAAGATGTACAAAATTTGTCAGTTATGATAGAAAGGTATGAAGATAAGGATCAAAATAATCTCCTAACTCTTTATGAAGGACCAAAATGATCTTGATTATTTGAAAGTCTCATTTTCGTCTCTTATCTTTAAATAGGGGCCTAAATGATCCCGCCATACAAAGTAATGAATGTTATAGTTAACAATGTTAAAAAATAAGGGTATTTTAGGAAATTTAATTTTTCTTATGAATTATTTAGCAAATATAAATTGCAACTAATTATATTTTCTTGTTTACAATAGGTGCATTCATAATTTAGTATATAAGCAAGAGTAGATAAAGATCATGCGTAATGCCAACAAATTATCTTTTTTCCTAAAATTACCCCTTCCCCTTCGCCATCCATAATGTGACTATTTCTCGTTAAAATCT